ACAATGCTGAACAATGCTGCATCTGGTCCGTCCGTCCCCCAGCACAAAAGAAATGGAAGGATAACTGGAGGCTTATCTTTTTCCTTTGCCTTCAGCTCCCAGCCAGATCGGCAGCAATAGAGCAACTGGGACTTGGCAAAAAGCTTCTCGGCTCCTCTCCCCCAGCACCAGGATAAATGTCCCAGTCATCTAAATGTTTTGACACTTCTCCTACTGCTCCCCCCACCCCACAACCATTGCTTTAACTGTGGCCCGAGTTATCTTCTAGAGCCACGTTTCCCCAGAAACCGGCGCTTTTGTTGTGTTCCAGCCCCTATCTCCGCTTCTCCTTTTTGCAGTGATCACAGCAGAAAGCTGGCAAATTGGCTCGAAAGAGAGAAAAAGCTCTCCGTTGCCATGCCTGCCTCTTGTTCTGCCTTAATTTCCCCTCGCCTTCTCCAAAATAGGGGCAAGGCTTAAATCCTGCTGACAGCCACCTGATCCAGAAAGCATGTTTAGTCAAAAGCAAGTCCTGCTGATTTCAGTGGGGCTTACTTCTAAGTAAGCAGACTGCATGCACACACTTACCTAGGAACCGGCAGTTTCTCATTTTTCCAATCTCATGCTCAGTTCTCCACATTCCCACATTAGGTTGTTGTTGTTGTTGTTATCCTCACTGAAATTCTTAGTGCAAATTTCTTGTAATTTTGATATGCGATTTTGTCTAATATATACATTTTCTTTTGCAAAGCAATTTTCCTGTAATGAATTTTGTATGTTAATTTCACAGACATAGGCATTTCTGTGCATGCTTTATCCTATCCTAGTGTGTGCGTTTTTGAGCATGTTACAGTGGTACCTCTGGTTACAGACGCTTCATTACAGACGCTTCAGGTTACAGACTCTGCTAACCCAGAAAAAGTACCTCGGGTTAAGAACTTTGCTTCAGGATGAGAACAGAAATCGTGCGGTGGCAGCAGGAGGCCCCATTAGCTAAAGTGGTTCCTCAGGTTAAGAACAGTTTCAGGTTAAGAACGGACCTCCAGAACAAATTAAGTTCTTAACACGAGGTACCACTGTACTTGGTTGGAGAACTACATTGCAGTATTTGGAAATGTGAAAATTTCTAAGAAAGGCTGTGTTTAGGTTTGCACATTGTTTTGTAAACTATGGCTCACGTGGGTTCACCTTTCAATGTGGACAGAATTTAATTTCTTACCCCACCCAGCCTTACTAGGGAGTAAGCCGCACTGGATGCAGTAGAACTTGTTTCTGAGTAGTCATGCATTTAGATACACTGTACACTCCACAATTTTGTATCATAGAGCACTCACTGAGCTGTGCAATCACGACTGCACAACTTGGCCTCCCCATCCACAGACAGTATTTTTCTCAGTTTGATCTTCTTGCAGATAATGAGATCATCCAAAATCCAAATTGGTGCCTAACTGCTAGATATTAAAGAGATTTTTTTTAAAGGAGTCTGTTTTCATTTTATGGTGCATTTGTGCTAAACTTAAAGACAACTGGGGGGGGCGGGGAGGGGTTGGGTAGGGTAAAGGGATAAATAAAGATCATATCCTGTAATGAATCCTATTCTGCAGTATCATCAAATCCATTGTGAGGATACGTTTAAAATGCTGTTAGCAGAAATACAGATTTAATTTTATTTGGGTAATTATCATTTCCAGACACTCAGCAAAACCATCCAATCAGAATAATGTCATGTCACGCAAACCATAATAAAGTTCAATTAAATATGGCTGCTTGCTTAGTAAAAAACAAAGATGTATCAATTTTTCATCATCATAATCCAAGATTTTGGCCTGGATCTCACTGAGATAATCAAAACCCTGATTCTGGACCCTTCTACGCCAGAGTGAAGGTTAGGGTTGTTTCTTGCAAAAATAAATGCATTCCCTGCATGTAGAGAATAAGCGTGTCAAAAGGAAAGGCTTTCTAGCTTAGCCTTTTCCCTGAGATACTTGCTTCTTATATGCATGGGGGATTCTTTTGTATGGACAGTGCTGGATTTACATATAAGCTAAACAAGCTATAGCTTAGGGCCCCACTCTCTTGGGGGCTGCAAAAAAATATAAAGGAAAAAATACCTGGATGTACATTTCCAAAATATAAGACAAAAAACAAATAAAATAAAACCTACCTACAACAACAGTGTTTTGTGTTGTGTAGGCTCCTATGATGTAAGCAATGGGCCCCGCCTGCTAGCCTGCTCCCTAAAATATCACTGGTTTGCTTCTTTCTATATATAGGGCGCCTACGTTCTGCATGGACTGGTGCATGGCAACATGTGCAAATGGCTTGAGATACCTATTAGGTCCATAAATTACAATATAGCATACAGTGCTACCTCGGGTTAAGTACTTAATTCGTTCTGGAGGTCTGTTCTTAACCTGAAACTGTTCTTAACCTGAAGACCACTTTAGCTAATGGGGCCTCCTGCTGCCTCCACGCCGCCAGAGCATGATTTCTGTTCTCATCCTGAAGCAAAGTTCTTAACCTGAGGTACTATTTCTGGGTTAGTGGAGTATGTAACCTGAAGTGTATGTAACCTGAAGCGTATGTAACCCGAGGTACCACTGTCTATTCAACACAAAAAGCAGCGTCAATTTGTTGTTTACAAAGGGCAGCTGGACATATAAAGGGCCCCATTACCTTCAGTAGCTTAGGGCCACAGCAAACCTAAATCTGGCCCTGTGTATGGAGGTACATTTCATCAGGTGAACCTCCAGTTACAGTCATGGGAAGAACACAAGATCCCTGCTGGATCAGACCAAAGGCTCATCTCGTCTAGCATCCTCTTCTCACAGTGGCCAGATGTCCACGGGAAGCCCACGAGCAGGACCTGAGCCCAAGAACACTGTGGCTTCCAGCCACGGGCATTCAGAGACATACTGACTCCAGCATGGAAGGTAGAACATAGACATGGCTAGCAGCCATTGGTTATATGATTGACTATCGCATCAAGTGATATAGTAAAAATAGGTAGGTATACCACCTCAGTGGGACTAAGCCTTTTTAAAAAACAACTGTGGAATGGGGCAGAGGAGGACAACCAAGATGATCAAGGGTCTAGAAACCAAGCCTGAATAGGAATGGCTGAGGGAATTGGGTATGTTTAGCCTGGAGAAGTACTTTATTGGGCTCCATGATCACTGCAGATGGTGACAGCAGTCACGAAATTAAAAGACGCCTGCTTCTTGGGAGAAAAGCGATGACAAACCTAGACAGCATCTTAAAAAGCAGAGACAACCTTGCCAACAAAGGTCTGTATAGTTAAAGCCATGGTTTTCCCAGTAGTGATGTATGGAAGTGAGAGCTGGACCATAAAGAAGGCTGATCGCCAAAGAATTGATGCTTTTGAATTATGGTGCTGGAGGAGACTCTTGAGAGTCCCATGGACTGCAAGAAGATCAAACCGCATCCATTCTGAAGGAAATCAGCCCTGAGTGCTCACTGGAAGGACAGATCCTGAAGCTGAGGCTCCAATACTTTGGCCACCTCATGAGAAGAGAGACTCCCTGGAAAAGACCCTGATGCTGGGAAAGATGGAGGGCACAAGGAGAAGGGGACGACAGAGGACGAGATGGTTGGACAGTGTTCTCGAAGCTACCAGCAGGAGTTTGACCAAACTGCGGGAGGCAGTGGAAGACAGGAGTGCCTGGCGTGCTCTGGTCCATGGGGTCATGAAGAGTCGGACACGACTAAACAACAACAGCCTGGAGAAGATTTGAGAGGTGATATGAAAGCCATCTTCAAATATCTGAAAGGCTTCCACGTGGAAGGTGGAGCAATCTTGTTTTCTCCTGCTTTGGAGGGCAGGACCTGAATGAATGGATTCAAGTTACAGGAAAGCAGATTCCACCTAAACATCAGGGAGAACTTTCTGATGGTAAGAGCTGTTCAGCAGTGGAATAGACTCCGTCAGAAGGTGGTGGACTCTCCTTCCTTGGAGGTTTTTAAGCAGATGTTGGAAGGTCATGTGTCTGGGGTTCTTTAGCTGTGATTCCTGCATGGCAGAGGGTTGGACAAGGAGACCCTGGGAGTCCCTTCCAACTCTACAATTCTATGCTTTGGTTTGTAGTTATCTTTATATAGATATCCATAGATTATTAAAATTAAGATGGCCGTTTCAGCCATTGAAAGTTACCAAAATAAAGGTGGCCATTTCAGACATGGGGAAGTGTGGGAGAGTGAAGCTTCAGGCACATTCCCAGCTCTGTGGCTCAGAAATAATTCGTTGGCAATGCATTCTGGCCCTCTAGCTTTCCAGGAAAGGGAACAGGAGCCACCGCCATGTCCCCATTTTCATTGTCGGCAGGATCGAGAGATAAGAGCTGCACAGATCTACACGCACACATGAGTCTGACACTGTCACTCGTGCGATGGTCTCGGAGCTGAAACGCTGCAACAACGCTGATGTTCCCTTTTGTGTCTATGCACAGATGTTGTGGGTGAGATTTCCTGAATTCTACTGAAAAATAAAGCCAGTTTTATCAGCATTTCCCAAGTGCCCAATAGACATGCAAATGTGTTGTTAACGTCAGTTCTGCCCCCCTTTATTAGCTGTCCTGCATTAACTAGCTAGTCTTTTCTCAGTCTTTTTTCCCTCCCCGTTTCCTTTAAGCGCTCTATGTTTGATGTGAGATTTTCTCCTTCGCTCTTTCTCGGTTCCCATACTTTCGTTCCTCGTTCTGCCCCTCCCCCCCTCTTTTTTTGGTCAATGCATTTGTTTAAAGTTGTTTGTTTATTAACCCTTCCAAAGGTCTCCCGTGCCTTCAGTATGGTGGGAGCCGGGGGGGGGGGAGACCATAGTTGTTGGCGACAGTGGAGACCAAATCTGGTTCTTTTAAAAGAAAAAGAAAGAGACCCTCAACAAATAGTGATTGAGCACACAGCCCAATCAACGAAATACAAGCTGACAAGCCGAAAAGAGCCTTCTTCTGCAATGAAAGAACACCATCAATATGCTTTTGTTTCTTAAAAGAGACCACAGGAGAGCCTGTGTGGTGCAGTGGTTAGAGTGTCGGGCTTAGACCCGGGAGAGACCAGGGTTCAAATCCCTACTTGGCCATGAAGCTCATGGGGTGTGATCCTGGGCCATTTACTACCTCTGAGCCTAACCCACCTTGATTGGGGATTGAATGAGGAGGGGGAAGAACCGTGTTGGCCGAGTAGCAAAACTGCAGTTAGGAAGCCAAATCATGTGCAATACTGACTCTTTCCTTGACATTAAAACAATATCCAAACACTTAAAATATTTGAAAGCTTTTGCTTGCAGAACATATAGCTAAAGAAGAATATAAAGGTAAAGGGACCCCTGACCATTAGGTCCAGTCGTGGCCGACTCTGGGGTTACGCCAGACTAAGCCGCTTCTGGCGAACCAGAGCAGCGCACGGAAACGCCGTTAACCTTCCCGCCGGAGTGGTACCTATTTATCTACTTGCACTGGCATGCTTTCGAACTGCTAGGTTGGCAGGAGCAGGGACCGAGCAACTGTCGTGGGGATTTGAACCGCCGACCTTCTGATCGGCAAGTCCTAGGCTCTGTGGTTTAACCCACAGCGCCACCCGTGTCCCTTGCAAAGAAGAATATATGCAAAGTATTTGCATTCGCATGCTTATCGAAGCATGGGCTTGTTTTTTCTAAGTTGAAGATTACAGCTTCTTCCTTAAACGTTCAAACAAAACCCTGTCTTTCTCTCCTTCCAGTATTTGCATTTGGCCTTCTGCACATGACCCAGCTAGGACATGCAGATGCTTCTGAGAAGTTCCACTTTCTCCTTCCAGCAGACTTCTCCTTCACGCTTCTTTGGGAGAACATCAACTTCTGTACTTCTTTCTGTCACGCATGTTGACACAGAAACATTAGTAATCCTCTCCTCTATTATGTTGAGAGATAGAGTTATCTAACATGATCTCTTCTCCAGTGTTCATGGAGATGCAGCCATTACAGTCAAGTCACTCACGCACAAAACAAAATGGAGAATGTAATAAGATACTTCCCATGTGGCCAAAGTTAACCAATCACACAAGAGTTACTGGGAACATTCCAGAATTAAATACACAGCAATACATTTAAGCACCCCCAATTTCAGTAAATTAAATCACCATACTTAACAAACTGTGCATGACACAGAAAAATGTAATAAATACCTAAATATAATATTTATCGGTGAGACCCATTTATGAAGTGGCTTTAGCTGTCCCCATGCACACAGAAAGTCAATATGGTGCCCTCCAGCTGTTGCTGGGACTACAAGTCCCATCTTGGCCATGATGGCTGGGATGATGGGAGTTGTAGTCCAACAACGTCTGGAAGGCACCACGTTGTCTAAAATCTTTAGTTGCCAACTGCTCTCCGGTGAGCTACTTTGAATGGAAAGTGAAAGTCCAAGCTCCTCCTCTCCCTCACGAAAGTGGCAAATATGTAAATTCAATTGCTCCCAATTCCCGCCTTTCCTTCTCTGCCTTCCAAAGCCACCGGCTGCTGAAACAGCTCACTTCAGAGGGGGAAACAGTAAGCTTTTTGCTGCATGCATTCTTTATAAATCCAGAACTTAAGTAGTTAATTGTCCCACTGTGGAGAGGGTTTTTTTTTTTAAACTACCCCAGTTCTCATTGAACAAGATGTCCTTTTATTTTTCAGCTTTGGATGTGGGCCTGACTGCTCTTCTAAACAAAGAGAGAACCAACAAACCAAGCTAAAGTTTTAAAAAAATCCAGCCATGTCTGTCTTTGAAGTTCTCTCTGTGTTGTTTGGAAAACTTTGGGATGGGTGGGTTTTTTTGGTGGGGGGGGGGAGTAAAAAACAGAGCAGCGGGGAAAGAACCAGGAATTAAGGGGAACTCGCTTTCCTAAAGAGCAGGAGACATTAATTAAATATCCTATTCATTTCTTTGGCACATAGTCGTCAAATTAAATATCCCATTCACTTCTTTGGTACACAATCATCAATCAGATTTCTTATTAGCATTCTGATGACCTGTCTGACCTTGCTACTGTCTGCATGACAGAGCCCAAAATAAGACCACACAGTGGAGAGGCGAGGATTATTCAACAGTGTCTCTTGCATGGGAGCTGGAATGAGTCGTAGCGAGTCAATGGATGAAGTTGGCACTGTTTCTGTTTTAGCATGGATGCAGCAACATCAGGGAGTTTGACCGTGGAGGGTCTGGCAGCGAATTTTAAGGGCACAGGAAATATTAAGGTTTTGAATTAAAATAAGCACAAAACCTCAGTAACGGCACAGTTAATCTCTGCACCTACAGTGAACGTTGCTTCCCTGCGATTCCCCTCTGTAAATTTTGACGCCAAATGCTTATCAGATATTCTCCAAACAGTCAAGTATTTGCAAGCGTTCACTGAGCATTTTTGATAATCTGCATTTGCACCTGATGAGGATTTTTTATTTCAACAGTTGACAGCACCTAATGTTGTTGTTTAGTCGTTTAGTCGTGTCCGACTCTTCGTGACCCCATGGACCAGAGCACGCCAGGCACTCCTGTCTTCCACTGCCTCCCGCAGTTTGGTCAAACTCATGCTGGTAGCTTCGAGAACACTGTCCAACCATCTCGTCCTCTGTCGTCCCCTTCTCCTTGTGCCCTCAATCTTTCCCAACATCAGGGTCTTTTCCAGGGAGTCTTCTCTTCTCATGAGGTGGCCAAAGCATTGGAGTCTCAGCTTCAGAATCTGTCCTTCCAGTGAGCACTCAGGGCTGATTTCCTTCAGAATGGATAGGTTTGATCTTCTTGCAGTCCATGGGACTCTCAAGAGTCTCCTCCAGCACCATAATTCAAAAGCATCAATTCTTTGGCGACCAGCCTTCTTGATGGTCCGGCTCTCACTTCCATACATCACTACTGGGAAAACCATAGCTTTAACCCTTCATGGATCACTGCCTTGCCGTGGCAGAGGGGCTTGAATAACTCAGAGAAGCTATGAACTATGCCGAGCAGGGCACCCAAGATGGACAGGTCATAGTGGAGAGTTTTGACCAAATGTGATCCACCTGGAGCAGGAACCGGCAAGCCACTCCAGTATCCCTGCCAAGAAAACTCCATGGACAAAGACAACCGACAGCACCTGATAGGCGGCATCTAATAGTATTTAACATTTGACTGTATTGTGCAGCTGACCTTGGTATTTGAGAACATTGGAGACATGAACTATTGAATGCCTACCAAAATAATAGATGTGCCCACAGTTCTAAAGCACTGCATATCTCAAAGATTTCACTCCCAACTTGCATGGATATGTGTTCCATCATCATGTGAACCCCCACCTGCACTCTGAAATGGTACAGTCCAGACAGGTTTATTGTCTCATTGAGAACTGGGCCATCTGCCTTGTGATCACACCCGCTTTCATCCATGTGTTTTGATGCACATGAGAAAGGGCTGTTTACCTATATCAACGTATACACACTGGGAGAGGGAGATTGGGCCTGTCAGAATTCTGACCATTACCATGTTGGCAGGGCTTGCCTGCGCAGCCCCAACGTCACTTGAGTATGGATGAACCTGTCTGCTTCCATTTTTATCATTTTCTCTGATTTCCCCAATCTTATACTCTGTTATTCACATATCCACATCATTCTGTGCTTTGTTGGGGGGAAAAAAAGTTATTGTGAAAATTCACCGGCATTTGAGTGCAAATTTCTCATACCATACCCATATTCGTATGCAATCTTGCTTGATATACGGTGGCACCTCAGGTTAAGAACTTAATTTGTTCTGGAGGTCCATTCTTAACCTGAAACTGTTCTTAACCTGAAGCACCACTTTAGCTTATGGGACCTCCTGCTGCCGTCGCGCCACCAGAGCACGATTTCTGTTCTCATCCTTGAAGCAAAGTTCTTAACCCGAGGTACTATGTCTGGGTTATTAGAGTCTGTAACCTGAAGCGGATGTAACCTGAAGCGTATATCCTGAGGTACCACTGTACACATTTTTGCAGAGCGTTGCTTCCTAATACAGTGGTACCTCGGTTTATAATGCCCTTCCACCGTTCGCAAACCGGAACACTACTGGTTTTGTCAAGTTCGTAAACTGAATAGTTCGCAAACAGGACTGTTCGTAAACTGAGGTACCACTGTATAATAATTTTTTGTACGTTGTTTTTCAGCAATGTGTAGTTCAAATACGCCTCCACTGAGTTGCTTTTTTGGTACACCATACTTGGTTGAAGAACTGCACTGCAAAATTCAGAGATGTACAAATTTTGAAAGATGGATGTGTTTCGGTTTGTGTATTGCCTTGGAAAGTGTGGATGAAGTTGACGCATACCCCTTCCTGGATGGGCGCCTGTTGTGGCACCTTGTGTTCAGCCGCCATTCCCGGGCAGTGAGAACGGAGCGCACATGGCCATTAGGGTGTGACGGTGCAACAACAATTTCCCCCCTGGTGCCGTTGGGCCTGCTTTCACCTGAATACAGTGCCCCCACCTCACAGTACACCAATGACACAAATTTCTATAAATTACCCCAGATTAGCTAGTGGGAGACTTCTGTGAGGGAAAGTTAATGATTTGGAGTCTCAGGCAGGATTTGATCAAATAAACAAGAAATATTTTATTAAACAAAGGAAGTTTATGACACAAAGTGGGTAAAACGTAGGATACTTCAGATTATAATGTTATTTCACTTCAGTTCTTTCTCAGTTGTTGCCGCTTAATACTTTGGTTCTTAAACAAGGTGGTACTTCCTGTCAGTAACACACCCCTTTGACAACCCTACTCCTGAGGTACTCCAAGTAACAGACCAAAGGGATCTCCAGACCCCTCTTAACTAGTTTGGGAGTCTTCTCTTTTTTGTAGAAGAAGCTCTCCCCTCCTGACTGGAATGAGACCTAAGTAGACCGTATCCTCACAGCTTCTACTTCTCCTGGCTCAACCTCAGCCTCCCAGTTAATTCCTGGCCTATTACTCTTACAGGACACCACACACTGTCCTTCACACTAGCTTGTGATATATTCCTAGTAAAATTAATGTTAAATTGCTGTTTTAGGGGTTATTTTTAAACGTCTGGAACAGATTGATCCATTTTGCATTACTTTCTATGGGAAAGCACGCCTT